TACACGGGTGTTCCACGTTTCCGGAAAAGCTTAAACGCGTCGGACTTTTTACGATAAACCTGGTGGTCCCACCAAGGGGAAGGAGGTTTCCTACGCAAAGACGTTCCAGGAACCGGCCGAGTTTGAGCTCGAAGCGCGCTGTCCAAGATCAGATTGGAGAGGAAGTTATATTCCTCCAACGGTGGAAGCCCTTCTACCGACGACACGGCTTCCTCTATCGCGGTCTTGAACGTTGTCCAATCGATATTACGGGTGAGGTCGTACGCGACGTTAACGGATTCCGACGGATTGAACCCACTGGCAATCGAAATTTTGATCGGCAAGTGATCACTACCGTGGGGATCCTGGATCACATTCCACGTGCAATCCAACGATAATGAGTTAGAGCAAAGTGTGAGGTCTAATTTACTTCCATTCGAAGATGGTCCAGCCAAACGTGTTACTTCTCCATTGTTAAGAATTGTCATATTGAAGTTATCACAGAGGTCATAGATAAAAGTAGAACGGTTGTCATCATACAGTTCCCCCCAGCCTGTACCGTGGGAATTAAAATCTCCCATAATCAACCGTGGAGCAGGAAGTACTGAACATATATCTGAAAGTTGTTTTCGATTAACAACGGCTCTAGGAGGAATATAAACAGAAGCAATACAAAGGCTCTTACCTTTAATAATAGCCTGACATGCGACAACTTCAATACCTGTAAATTGTGGAAGATTCACTCTATAGAAAGAATGGCACTTTTTGATCCCCAAAAGTACCCCTCCTCCACGCGAATCCTCACGATCCAGTCGAATAATGTTAAAATCATAAAAAGGTAGATCTATATCTGAAGAGAGCCAAGTTTCACAAAGAGCAAATGCATCACAATCATTATTGTGAACTAAAAACTTAAAAGAGTCTAATTTAGGAATAAGACTTCGACAATTCCACTGTAGAATAGTGATCAAATCCCCGACCTCGTTTGGAAAATTATCCATCGAAGGAAATCATTGCTGCAATGAGGGGCCACTTCAATGTCAATTGCTTCAAGAGGGTCTTCACAGTAGGAAGCATTGCCAGAACAATGCTTTTGAGAGGATCAGAAATATTCAGGTACTTGAGAATATCGTCCACAATTTGATCAAATGAGAACAACCCAGATGAAGAAGGGGCTTCTGTTCTTAAAAATGGGACATCAGGGGTTTTGGATGTCCCCGGGAGAGGTGGAAAATCCTGGGTATAGTCAGTTCTTCTGAATCCAGGAGGAGTAGAAACTTCCTTTTTTCCACCACTCCTTGATTTGGGCAAGCTGATTTGGGGTTCTTCATTCTCAACTTTCCGCGAACGGATGCGTTTTCGTTTCCGTGCTGAAAGACAGAAAGAAGCTCCCTCCTCATCCAAGTCAGAGTCAGTCTCGTCATCTGACAAAAGAGAAAAGGGATTTTTGTCGTTGGTCGATGGCGTGGCCGTCTTAAGCATTTCTGCAAAAGACTGCCGGGAACGTTCCTTAAGTGAGCGTTGTAATTTCTCCCCGCGTTGTTTGTACACCGGGCATGACGAGATACCATGAGGAGTTCCCTTACAGTACACGCATTTTGGTGCGGTAGCTGCACAGGTGTCATCCCCATGCTTCTCTCCGCATTTGGAACAGCGTGCCTTGCTGCCACAGTGGGAGGCCGTATGTCCCAACTGCTTACAGTTTTGGCAGTTCATGACCCGGGGAACGAACAAACGCACAGGTAGTCGAAGTTTTCCCAGCTCGATGTAGTGAGGAAGGGCTGAACCAGAAAAGGTCACACGGAACGAGTCTGTGGGGGTAAAACTCTTTTTACCCTCGCTGACAGATACTGAGCCCAGTTTTTGGACATCCAGTATCTTCACCGGAGGAAGCAAACGGTTCTTGAAACGGCCAACCGCCTGCTTCTCCAAGATCTCGGGGGTCAGACTCGCTTCGGTGACCACACCTTCGATCTCCACATCACGAGCTGGGATGTAAACTCTGTACTCGAGCGTGAAGAGCTGGGAGGCAGCAATCTCGTTAGCCTGCTTCAGGTTAGAGACGGAGACACGAAGTTTATTGTGCCTAACCTTCGTGATTTCAGTCACGGCCGAGTATCGCTTCGTCAGATCATTAGTAATTTGCATTACATTCAAAGGTTTGTTTCTGGGCTGAAAGTAGACAACCCATGGGCCAGTCGAGTCATCTGGATAGGCTCGCGATCGGGGGTTTATCTGAGCCTGTCCTTTGCCAGACTGAGACGATGAACCAGGGAGAGATGACGTACGTTTTCGACCCTTCTTGCCATCGCGTGGCAAAGTGGTGTCATCTTCCGACAAAACGTCCATTTCGTCTTGCGACAAAATGTCCATTTTGCCGTACTAGTGGGAGCGAAAAACGCTCTACCACTGAAACGATAATCACTCGGACACAATACACAAAAAAAAAAAACTACAAACACAGAAACACAAACTTAAAATTTAACTGATGGGCGAAAGAGAGAAACAAGAACAAAAACTTATCTGATAATCCTATACTACTACCACCGAGCGTTTAAACGGCAGCAGCGGTGCGATGCGCAGCGTGGATGATCTTCGATCAGCGTGTGTGGGCGGTCTCCGTTGGTGTGTGCTTATGTGAGGGTCGGCACTCAGCTGAACACACGATGATAGATGAGCGGTGTAAATGCGGAGGCAGATGCTGACACTCGATGACGATGATCCGTGTGCAGGTATGCGTTACCACGCACCGATGGTGCACAAAATGGTTGGCGAATTGGCAATCGTAAAAACAATTTTCCTTCCGATGATGCCGAAAACACACTTTCTTCTCAGAAAAAAAACTCACTTTTAGTTAATTATTTAACTGGGAACTCTAAGCGAGAAAAAACTGAAAATTTAAATCAAGCGAATAGCGAGAAAACTTCCAAAATAGCGGAGCGCGAACTAAGTCGACCGTACTTCTTGCTAGGACGCAGTGGAATGTATTTTGGACTTGTTGTTAGTGTTTTCCGTTCACTTGAGGGTAAGTATTCTGGACTGGTGTATCGTGCCTTATAGTTGAACATGAATTTCATTCCGTTAAAAATAAATTGGAAAAACACACTAACACACTGAAACGGAAGACGTATATCTTAGCGGAACTGAATAATCACTTTGGTTATTTTTAATCCAGTAGTTTGCGCTAATGTGTTACCTAACCTACCTACTATCTCACTTTGCGGCAGGTTCTTTCAAAAAATTGGTATTTTGTAACCATGTGTAGTTCTGTAGCGAACGTTTCAGCTCAATTGATCTTAAGAGAACAAAGTTTCAACATGTCAAAGTTGACAATTTTTTATGAAAATCGGCATACGCTGCTATTATATCACACAGTACTGTATATTCGTTATGAATCAGGTAAGACAGTAGTACAGAATACCATTCAAACATTATCACAATTAATAAACACTTCTGTTATAGATATGCTACCCGTTTCAACTTGCCCCGGAGTACCTTAAGTCAGCTTTGAGACGACCTTTATCTATAAACCCCCGATCCACCATAACATTTGAAAACCATTCCTAATAAAACCAAACCCTGATTTGGTACCATCCAGCCACGCTTATGATATTATTTCTAAACTGCTATCCATTGGCGTAGCTAGAAAATTTAACTGGAAGGGTCCAAGGGGGGCCTGTTGCATTTTTTTTTATTTTGCAAAACTACGGTTAAATAAAAACTTGCTATTCAATCAAATTGGGCCATTTCATGACAACGAGTGGGATCTCGTTTGTGGGAGTTTTAAGGCTTACTGATTTTGAACAAGCAATGGTCGTTTGTTCATGCTTTTTGTAATGAAATCACATAGCGTCCAGATCTCATAAATTTAAGCATCTCAAACGTAAGAAAATTCTCAGAGGTAGGTAACTTCATGAATTTTGTAACTAGCTTTGTTTTTAGATTTTGAATATTTAATCATCAGTTAAATCTCAGACATAGGAACCAACATTAAAGTCTAGAAGTGGATGTCCATACACAATTCTCAACATTCTGAATGTGAAACTAAAAATAGTTTTGAGTTCCGAACGAAGTTCTCTGAATTTATTCCAAATTCCATATTTATTCCATCCGTAATCCTACGAAGATCTCTGAACATCTTTGCACTTCTGGAAATATACCTATCATCTACAAATATTCTTGAACATCTGGAAAATCCTTAAACGAAGTTCCCAAAACCTCAAAGAAGTTCATGGAGCTTTTTTGAATTAAGATCTGTGACAAACAGTAACGAAACTCCCTCAACTGAAGCGAGGGAATTTCTTAGAAGTTTATTGAACTATTTTTAGATCTTCTTCAAAATTCCCTGAACTTTTTCAAAATACCATACACTTACATCAAGTTTTACGCAGCTCCACAAAATGCTACGAAATTCGCAAACCATCTACAAAGTTTGTTGGACTTCTACGTTTCTTGTTGATTTTCCACGTAGTTTCACGAACGAGATTTCTTGAATTTGTACGTTATTTCCGCAACTATTCCATGCCCATGAGGTTTCAAAAAAGTGCTCTGAAATTATACATTGGTTCCCGATCAATAATGAGCTTCCTTAAATAAAATAATGTTCCCTTAACTTCTACGAAGCTCCATAAACTTAAATAAATTTTCCACTTTTACGCAGTTTTCAGAACTTTTCCAAGTTCCTTGTTTCTTCGATTTTTTTTCTGAAGGTCCATGAAGCTCCCAGAATTTCTATTAATTTTCTTCAAATTCTAAGATGTCCACTGAACGTCTGAGAAGTCCTTGAAGTTTTACAAAGTTCCCAGAAGGAAATACCCTAGGCTCATGGTCAATTTGCAGAACCTGAAGACGTATTATTATGCCATCGTTTAAATATCGATATCATATAATTTCTCCAAACTGATTCTTCTAGTCCAGAATATAAGAAAAGTGGTCAACTTAAAGGAGTTTTAAAAAAATCGTGAACTTGACAAACTTGACGAAATACCGGTGAGTCAAAACAATTCTTGGGGGGGGGGGGTCTAAATAATTCTGGAGGGGACCTGGCCCCCCTTGACACCCGCATTAGCTACACCAATGTTGCCATCGATTTTTTTTTTCAACACTACATCATTCTCGCTGGATCCGGATCCGGAGCCGGTGTCGCTATCATCGATCTTATCCGGTTCACCTTCACTGTTTGGTGTCCGTTCCTCTCGCTAGGACTGTAGTTGCTAGGCAGGAATGGAAGGTGGCACAACTGGTAGATTGGGCGAGGCAAATTGTTTTCTATTTAACAACAATCCTTTGATCGAGTCCAGGTCGGATTTGAAGTTTGTCAATTCCTTGGTGCTCGATTGTGCTTGATGTACTCGAGCGAAATTGATGCTATCAATCTTTGCCTTGATAGTTTCGTTGAGTTCGGAAATTTGCTCCTCCACCGGTTTTTTCTTCTTTACTCGGAAGATAAGTGGCTCGATGAATTTTTTGTAGAAGCGATAGACGACATACATAAGCCCACTGATTAGGGCCACCGAGCTGAGAACCTGCTTAACCCTGCCGAACCACGAATGCCGCGACTGAATGACATAATTTGCCTCCGGATAACCCACTGGACTGACTCCCACGCTAATCACCATCTGGCTTGGGATGTTTGGATCTTCAGTGAATACCTCGACTCGTTCACAGGCCAGCTGAATTTCTTCTTCTGTCAGGCCCTTGGACCGGAGGAACAATTGTTTCTGGTTGATGGCGCTGTGCATTACGTTGGCGTTGTTAAGAAATTTGATCGCTGTGGTAGCACAAGTGGTGGAACTGGCGGGTTCACTGGTACCTCCATCACTGCCGCCGGAGGAGACTCCTGACGCATTTCGCGCCAAATCGTATTCGGAGCTGGCAGCACCCTCTCAGATTTCAATGAAACTTTCTGGATGTGTGGACTTGACTAAATATGCCACTTTGCATATTTAGTTTTTCCAAAATTTATCTAGACTAACATTTGAAAAGGGACAAACTTTTTCTGCCGATTTTTTTCTAAAAAATATTAATGAAAAATGATAACTCCTACAAAAATGTGTTGTATGGATGACTTTTAGCAAATTGTCCAAGTTATCGAAAAAAAAATACTGGAAAAAAAAATGTATTGAGGCCTACACTGAAAAAAATCGATTTTTAATGAACGATTTGGATGAAACTTTGTCTAAAGTAAAGATAGGTAAGTATGTTTACTACCAACCGTCCATACATTACGAGATGGGCACTTTTAAGGAAAAAAAGTTTTTCTTACAAAAACTTTTTCATGTCTGAACTGATTTTTTTTTTATTTGCCATTTTCACACAAAATTAAACCAGTGAAGCTCAGAATCCAATGAAGCTCAATTTGCGATTCAATTTTGTCTAATCAGCACTTAAATTCACTTTGATTAATCGAGAATTTCATATGAAAAGGGCTCATGATGCATTTCTCGCCAAATCGTATTTGGAATTGGCAGCACCCTCTCAGAGTTCAATAAAACTATTTGGACATGTAGACCTTGTCAAAAAAATATCATTCTCTTATTCTGTTGTGTACAACTGATGCAAAATTTGATAATATGTGAGATGTACAAGATTTTTCATATATCATTTATTTATATATTTACAATGTTTTAAACCTATTTTCATACATGCTATTTTTTCCTTCTTCCAATCAAGTTAAATATTTTTGGTTCATCTTCTGAATTAGAATATCTTTTTGCCGCTACTTTGTCACCAGTTATAAGCACATAACTGTGGAATTTCTGTGTGCCAGATATTGTCTTTGTGCTGTTATATAGTTTTTCGAGTTCTACTGACATTTCTATGTACTGTTCAGTGGATATCTACTCGAAACGTAGTTTTGTGATATTTTTATCTGTTTGTTCAACTGCCCAGTTATTTAATTCTCGTGGAGTTGTTATGGTGTTTCCATAATCTCGAGCAAGACTAGCTCTCTTTGCCATTCGCTTGAGAGTGCCACCAATGGCATCACAGGGACCTTTTCCATGAGACGTTGCAAAAAAATGCCATTCTGCTTCTAATACAAGCTTTGACTGAAATCTACACAGACTAGCAAAGTTTATTTTTATTTTTTTATTGTGATGCTGCCCCATCTGACATAAAAGTAATTTTAGCAAAAATATTTCGATTGTTTAATAAAATCTATCATTTTTTAGATGAACAACTGAACTGCAACTGTATCGTGAGTCATTACTTCTGATATGATAATGAAGCTAACATTTTCAAGTTTATTATCTTTCTTATAATAAACTTCAAATGGATGTATTGTAGCTTGAGAATTATTTCAGTGATATCCTTGAGCAGCGTTTTGGATAATGAATGAATAATTTTCAGAAAAAATCGCAAATTGCTAGAATTTTGCCTTCTTTTAATGATTCTGTTTTATTTCTTAGAAAAGATGACTGTTGTTTGTAAATAAAGTCTTGAGTTATAAGTTTGTTAATTTTATCAATGAGATACGGAACAAATTCACCAACAAGCCTTGTCGTTTCCAAATTACAACGATCAGTATTCAGCCACTGTTGCAACACAACATCTTGTTTGCCATTTGATTCTAATAGCAAAGTAAGTTCCTCTTCAATATGTTCATTGGAAGCACACTTTTCGCAAGCACGGAAAAAGCAATCAGTTGTTCTAGTAGAAATATTACAAAGGATTTTTTCTATTATTGCATCTTGTGACATAATTTTTAAACTGTTGATCATTAATTTTACATTTTCATGAATTGTACAAATACATACATTATGTATACCAGTAGAATGAAGCAAAATGTAATGTATTTCGGTTGCATCTCGGATTATTTATACTTGCACGACATTTCAATCCTTTGAGCCTTAATTTACTACTCTGGTCCATGATAATAATTTTACTACAACTTGTCTTCACAACTTTCGTTATCAGATTGACTGCTGCTTGTATGAAATCAACCTTAGTTTTATAGTTATAGTTAGTTCATAGTTAGAATGAAGTGGTAGGTATATAATGTTAATGGTTTAGGTATAAATAACAGAAGGGCATATAGAATTATGATGCGATACGTTGACTTCCCAAATCGTTGTTGATTCGAAAGAAGATCTCAATTTAAATTTTATTCATACCTAATTCTTTATGGATAATTTGAGCTAAGAATTCTAAGTTGCTATAGGAGTATCGGATTTTGCCTCAGTAGTAGACAATATAATCAATTGCTCTAACTTTTTAACCGTTGGGTAGAATTAAATGAAAATTTGGGTGGATTTAGTTCATAGTGCATTATTTACATCCTGCAAGTTTTAAAGTCCTGTGATCAAAACTCGCGGAAATGGAGTCGAAAGAACAGCTCGTGCGTGATAAAATCTTGCGCATTCATCACGAGAACAAGGATCTCTTGCATCGTTCCATCGCTAAAACGTTGGGAATCGCGTATTCCACGGTGTCGCGAGTGATTAAGCGGTTCGAGGAACGGTTGACCACCGATCGGAAGCCCAGAAGTGAAGGAAAAAGTATTCCGTACAACACCAAAAATCACAACCGCGTAGTTGGGGCTTTCAACCGAAATCCGAACGCCTCCGTTAGGGATGTGGCTAAGAAGCTGCACCTAAGCCGAAGTTTTGTCCAGAAGGCCAAAACTAAGGCTGGGCTTCGAACGTTCAAGGTACAAAAGGCCTCTAATCGCGACGAGAAGCAGAACAAGTCCGCCAAAACCCGTGCCAGGAAGTTGTACCTCAACATGCTGACGACAGTTGAATGCTGCATCATGGATGACGAAACATATGTGAAGGTCGACTTCAAACAGATCCCCGGCAACCTGTTTTTCACGGCCAAGGATAAGTTCAGCGTTCCGGAGCATGTCCGCACTCAGAAGATGTCCAAATTTGCGAAGAAATTCCTGGTTTGGCAAGCCATCTGCACGTGCGGGAAGCGGAGTGCACCTTTCGTGACCCAGGACACGATGAACGGACAGGTGTACATAAAAGAGTGCCTCCAGAAGTGGCTGCTTCCTCTCCTGAAGGCCCACAACGTCCCAACAATCTTCTGGCCGGATTTGGCCTCATGCCACTACTCCAAGGACGTGCTGAAGTGGTATGCGGACAATAAGGTCAATTTCGTGCCGAAAATGTTCAACCCTCCCAACACTCCGGAGCTCCGCCCCATTGAGAAGTACTGGGCGATTATGAAGCAGCACCTTCTTAAACGACCTAAGGTAGTGAAGACAGTCGAGGAACTGAAGAAAGTATGGGTTTACATGCAAAAAATGGTTGATTCACAGGTTGTGCAGAATCTTATGGCCGGGGTTAAGGCCAAGGTGCGGACATTTGCGTATGGACTGTAAATAAAATACGAGTAAAATGGTAAAATGAAGTTTAATAGTTATTTCTCAATCCCTGAAAATTTGATGGCAATCGGATGAAAACTCGAATTTTGCGAATCAATTTTGTGTGTGGCAATTTCATCGTGGACACCCTTTACATACAAAAAAAATCACTTTTTGATATCCATAAATAACCTTTCTTTCTTTTGAGTGGGTACAGGCACCTTACCAAATCCCCATTTTTGACATTTTATTGTATTATCCTCGATAATTTTGAACGGACTTCTGATTGTTCGTTAGAAGGGAAGCTAGTTTTTCATTTTTATTGTTCAATTAACCATATCACATGGTGACAGGTACTATGATTTTATTTTTATTTGTCGGATCGGTAAACAAGCCGTTTTAACAACCCACTAGCTCATTGACTCGATTAGTCAACTGGATATTTTGACATTTGACTAACGTAATCTCAGAAATAAAGAATATTCTATGCAATTCTACTAAACATCCAAATAAAAGTTATGTGTTGTGACAAAATACAATAAAGTTTATAAAACATATGAAAACACATATGATTGCATATAGAGAAAAACAGATGAAGCCATCCCAAAGTTTATCATAAAAAAAATAAATACTGAGTACTCTTAGGTATATAGGTTCGAGCAATAGCTAGCGAATTCAATATCCTTTAAATCTGGCAAATGATAAGTTTAAATTTGGTTTGTTTAGAGGAATTTGAGAAAATGAATCATCGAGCATAACATTTTTTAACTAATGGTTCATAAAATTTAAATGCTTATTTTTCATTTTCTAAAATTGTTGAGTAAAAAAACAAATTATCTATTAAAGATTTGCGTTATATCGGACATAAAAAATTGAAATTTATCAAAAATGTGATTGTTTATTCATTAAATTGTTTAAGGTTTGTCATTTATTACTGGGATTTGATTTTTTTTATTTTCAGACTTTTAAAAAGGATACAAATCACTCAAAAAAAAAAATCAAGATTCAGGATTTTGATGTTAGATTAATTCTTTATGAAGCAAACTTAAGTCAGTCTTCGAGTTTCTAAACTTGAAGCTTGAGCTTGAGCTTGAGCTTGATTGACCGCCCACGGTTGCTACTCTGTTACTGCCAGATCAGCTGTAATTACACAGAGAACCAATAGACGATGCTTGGGACTAGCAATCATCCTCAATGTGTAAAAACTGGTGATCTTAAATTAGGCAATACCAGCGCCGGCCGCGCCCGAACACAGGTCAAGAAAGGAATGGGAAGGATTGTATTGACATGACACTCGCTTTGATGGAAGCCGAGAACACCTCTGCACTTCCACGAGAAATCACTGGGATGTTGGATAAGAGGGTTGGGTTTGCAGCAGGGTTCGTTTTGGTAAACGATAAGCTGAATTGATGTCCTAACGATCATATAACGCGAAGGAGCTTGGGACTAAACTCACGGTTTTCTGCTCAGTAAGCAATAACGTTTGCCACTAGGCAGACGAGCACCTTTTTAATCACCGAGTTGCT